ATTGTTTTGAATTTTACATTAAAAAATGGGATATAAAGGCAGTTTTGTTATGATATTTAATAATTTCGATAGAAATGTACGGATGATTGTGATTTTTACCCTGTATAGTGTGTAGTATGTAGTAGTCATAGTACTTTTGCAGTGCAAACTTAACTATAGTTGAAACAGTCTGTGTACACAAGCATGCATCCGTATAAGTTTGCACCAACTTGCTAAATAGGGCTAATTATAGCTACATTTAAAACAAAATGAGACGTTAATAGAAAATAGCACAGTATTTATAATCTTTACAAGAAATAAAACAAAATTTTCTTACTTAATTGAGAATTATAAAGCAATATTTTTGAAAAAAAAGGTGCAATCCGAACCTGGCTGTCTTGCCTTGATATTTACCACAACCTTTCCTGCTGCATTACGCTGAGAGTTGGTAATTTTTTTTGATAATTCAATTTATATAGCTAGCTTGTTTGAAGATAATAAACACAATATGATAGTTGTTTTACACCTGGATAGTGGACTTGACCACCTCGTCACTTAATTATTATCCTAAACGCACAATACCTGTGCGCACGTGAAACATATTGCGTTGACACGTAAATGTTTCAAGTGCGCACGTAATACTGTCGCATTCGCATCTAGATCTATTAACTAAAATATTTCCTAAGTTATTTTATGCAATTGTTAAATATGATACGTATATTTCATTATCTGAATTTGATTTCATACTATCAGATTAATGCTATAGGCAAGGGAGGATATTTTGATTTATAATTTTTGTGAGAATTATCACTTTATTTTTAGTGATGGCACACTGTAAGAGATCCTTTTGTCAACTTACCTAGTTAAACAGTCTGAACAATAAAAATATTAATCTACACTATAATATATTTTGGAGATAATCATTCGTTGCTGTGAAGTTGTGATGAGATATTTTTTGAAATAATTGAAACTGAAACAAACAATTATCCAAATTTGTGAAGATTTACGTTTTTATAATGATAAGAAGTATAGCTGGGTATTCCGCCCTTTACTTAACTGGATATCATTGTGCAAACACGGATCTATATCTGAGTTGCAAATAAAGTTGTCCTTTCGCATATACATTTAAACATTGTTTTCAGAACGAATTGACTCCTAACGATGCTAATATACATTGTAAAGACGATCAAAAAGATTATGTCAGCACTTTTTCTCAATATAATGTTATATTGTACTAATATATTTTTAATCAATAATATACTCTTTACATAGAACAAAGATACCATTATATTACACGTGTGAAATAAATATATTCAAAAAGGTTTTATAACAAAAAAAACTTATCATCCGTCTGAGATTAATCAATTCATTTAAAACCTGTGTGAATGGTTGCTTATAAATGACATCTTTATCCTAATAATATAAAATAATTTGAAATTTGTGTAAGAAAAAAAAAATTGTATATATGTATACGCTTAAATAAAATGCTTGTGTATAGTCTTTTTTGAAAGTTGTGATAACTATTTCAAGACACTATTTACACAGGATTTTAAACTCTCTTTTTTCAGATACACACATGCCAAAGAAGATGGTAATATCTGGAGAAAACATTTCTTAAGTCACGAAATAGACACCGTCACACTGGTCTACGTAACATTCCTATATATGATTGATATATCTAAGTGCTGTTAAGAACAGTGTTTAAATGACGAATTTCTTTGAATACGGATCTTTAATTTTAATGATTATTATATAAACTCTTTAATAATCAATTTGTGCTATGGACTCATTTTCCTAAAATAATATGTGAATGTTAACACGAACAAATAATATTAATATCTTTAAAATGTTTAATGGGTGTAATATAAGTGGCTCATAAAAATCATTGTTAAGATAAATAGAAAAATACTTCAAGCTGGTATAGTCTGTTCTAGATTTAAACAACATGCAATTCATAAAGGTTACGGCTTGAAAGTATCGGAAAATGTACATGTATAATTCGATCTTTGAAGGAAATATCGCGGTGCGAATGTTCTGCGCTGTGATACGTATTACATGTGTTTGTATCGCAACATACCGGTTTATCGCCATTCCGTTGCAACGCTACATTAATTTGTCCCTCTAAAATAAGGCTTACAACAATATATGACTGTTGTAGCAAGGACATGTTTATTTTGTTTAATATATGTATACATATTGAATATATATTTATGAAATAATAAATATTTAAATATTTGAAATACACCAATTGTGAAAATAAAGCTCTTAAGCATATGAATTAACAGTTTCCATTCACAATGTGTAATCAAACATGTTCTATTGAACAAGTCTGCATTTTGGTCATGTATACGTGTCACTTACATGTAAATGCATGTTTTTGATATTATCTGTACCTTCTTTTATCTCGAAAATACAGTTCTGTATACCCTGTGTACAACTCAAAAATGCAATTCCGTATATCCCCAGTATATCTCGAAAATACGATTTCGTATATCCCCTGTATATGTAGAAAATACGATTCCGTATATCTTCTGTATTATAGTTTATGTAGAAAATACGATTCCGTATATCCTCTGTATATAAAGAAAATACGGTTTCGTATATCCTTGGTATATTTATAGTATACTAGGGATAACAACCTTGATAAGTCCGTATACGGGATTTTATTCTCCTTATACTTCAAAAGTACGAACAAATATACGTACATGTATATACGGACTTCCCGTATACCCGGTGTTCCCTATACGGACTCGTATACTTGGTCCATATATTTTTCGCAGTGCTAGGTCTCCTGTCCCCTTCCCCTGTGCCCTTTGATATTTTGGGCCTATTATCCAATCATTTATTTCTTTTCTTTGAATTTCAGTTACAAATTATTTATCATTTTAGTGATAACCCTGTCCTTGCTCTGCCTTGTGCCCTGTCCTGTTTTTTTTTTTTTTTGGGGGGGGGGGTCCGTCTTGGCTTCTTGCTCCTTATACTGCACAACAACAGGTGTCAAGTGTTGTTTGGCAGCTGTAAGAAGTTGCTCCGTACTTCACTTCAATGTTGTTATATATTTCTGGTCCTTTGGGATCATTGATGCCAGCACTATTCAGTGTTAAAAATTGAGTACCGGTTATAGGGGGCGTGAGGGATGTTGCACTTATTCTTTATCCCTCATGTACAGACTCAATCAAACCGAGTCTGCAATTTTCATGTTTTTGTTGTGATTAATGCTTCCGAGGGATCACTTTATTTCAAGATTTTTAAAATCAATGGCATTGCATAAACGGTCTCCCTAAACAGTATACTGGTCAATGATTAAACGTTTGGTTGTTTTCTAGTAAGCGGTCGTTATAAATCAAATGCTTCATTTTTTATTGTCATTATTTTACATTGCTCGTTTTTATTCATTTTGTAAACCTGTTTGTTGTTTTACTTAGTTATATGCTACTCGTGCTGTATTTCTAATGCGTTCTTAATATGATGCCATTCCTTGTTGATCTTGTAAGTCATATTTTGTCACTAACTCATTTGTCAAAATAAAAATGAGAACCAGGATAACATAATATATAATTCCTAAAACTTTAGAACAAAACTTCTTTATTATATAGCCATAATTATGCCCCTAGCATCGATTAAGCGGTGCTTTATTTCGGCGGCCCTTTTGTAAATTTTAAAAACCCGCGGTTAAAATACTTAAAGTTTTTATACACTTTTTAGAGAGGTCTGCAACAAATCCATAATGCTAGCTTCAGAGCTGCAAATTTGCCACTTCCAAAAAATATATACAGAAGAAAATTCAAAGTTTGTTTGTTTGATTGGATTTTACGTCGTCACATCAACACAGTATCGTGAATATGGGTACGTTCAAGATTTATTGGCGCGTTCTTAAAGCTAGCTAGATATCTTCTAAGTATGAAAGAATACAAAGTCCCTGTCAAAAATCTAACCCACTGCGGTGAAGTCAACGACCGGAAACACTCGGACCACGGAGGCCCTCGTAAATTCAAAGTAACATACTCAGAAAAAAAAAATATTTTAATATCCTTACAATCTTTAGGAATATGACTAGCGAATTTCCACTTTCTATCAACTTATATCAAATACCTCATAAGGTCGCATATATGAGAAATTAATTATCTTGTGAATACGATGTTCATTTAAAAAAAAGTATGTTTAATTGTAATTGTGGATTTATCGTTTTCTATTCGAATGTACTTTAATTAAGTAACACAAAGACATCAATGGGTAAAAAAATTGCCTATTGTATAGATATTATATTATTTTAATAAAAAGGGTATGAAGCAAACTTTTCTTCTTAAAAGTATGTGATGTACTACGATGTGTTCTATTTTCTAACGAAATTTAAGCGTTATACAAGGTGTGGCAAAACAGACTTGTAACAAAGCTAAAACATTCAGATATTTAAGAATAAAAACATCTCTTGTCCAGGTTTCTTGAAATCTCTCTGATGGACTGCAACGCGTTTTATTACTTCAAAATTGCAGCTCACTTAACCATCATCTTTTTCTGAAAATAATGTTTCATCGCTCCTTGTCATTGTGGTTGAATGAGCCAATAATAATCATTTCCATGAATGTCGAGAGTATATTACATTCGACCAAACATGATATTAAATACGATATAAAATATAATACCCCTACGTTAGAAGTAAATCTCATTCGCACCAAAATGAAATGAAGAAAACGAAACCTTTTTTTTCCGAAGTTCACAGGTATATCAAAACAGTGAGAAGTTTGAAACATTATCTATGAAATAATGTCAACTTTTAATTCACAAAAGTCGTACTTAAAAAGACAGAAAAATATGTTATTCATAGATAATTTTGTAATATTTACTTATTATTAAATAAACAGTGACAGCAAAAGTGTCCTCACACATGTTTTCCATTTTCTAGAATTACCAATATAATTCTTTTTAAACCTACTTTTGTTTGCCTATAACCTTCATAGAGACAACTGTATCAAATCTAAATGCTATGAAGAACAAAATAAATAAAAAATGACCGTCATGGCAATAATTTAAACAAATTTAATTGGTAGAAGGTTTAAAAATGCCACGTATTTACATTGAAGCAAAGTTATTTTTGATTATTTTTTTAACTTTTTATATTATTGTTGCCCTTTCACCTTCAGACTTGATAAGATGTTTTCCTTAAGAAATGTCTTTTACATGCATAATTTGAAGTCAAATTGCCTTATAAAGTCATGATTTATCATCTATTGGTAAATGATAAGAATTGAGAACGTCGGTTAATTTCCGTTTAGTGCCTATGGTTATTTCCACCATATCAATAACTTTATTTACAATTCTCCTCAGTTTATTATTGTAAATGTAATCATTTGTCAGCCATTTTGGTATGATTCGTTTAAATCTTCTATTCTCATTACTGGACAAACAGTATAAAGAGTTATATGTTACTGAAAAGTTTAGAAACGTCATTAAGTGAGAAGTTTCAAGAATTGTGTTTTCAAACAGTTTCTCATATACAAGAACATAAGCCGGTATATTCTTATTTTGTATCCAATAAAGTGCCATATCTTTCCATTTATAAGCCTCCCTTGAAACAAATGATGTCCAAGCTGAAATTAAAAGGAATAATCTGTGTCAAAACAGTGTCATAAACAAAAGATATTGAGGTTTCTAACCCTACCCCTAAAATACTAGTATATAGCCTCCCTATTGAAGAAAACTTATTTTTGTTAAATGAATAAAATTTTCTGCATTATTTTAATGAATCTAATTATATAACTTTTAAATGTTAAAAGAATTATAGAACAGGTGCTGATCACATAAACAAATGTGGAACGCCTTTAGAAGCTGTTCTGCACAAGGAAGACTTTTTTACAAGCTAATATTGTAAAACTCAGCTTCTATAACTATTTCTGAAATAACATGTCATGATCTAGGACAAGACTTGCAAGACTTTCATATTTTTTATAAATTTACTCTAACTGATTTTCAGTATTGTTTATTTTCGAAAGTAAGACAGAATCCCTTGAAAGCTTATATATTTATTTTTTTAGATTACCTCCGCTTTGTAAAGGATGGAGCACATCAAAAGCAGGTAATAAAATGTTCCAGAACAGAAAATAATATTTATCATATCTTAGACATAATGTTCATAATGAATTGATAAGACCATTATAAACAATTATTATCAAGCGGTGGTATGACACTGCTCTTTTTGATATTGGATTTAATCATCATTTGCTATGGAACCTTGTCATTGCTGATAAATGCAGAAAAAGTCTTTGAAATGCATCGTTAGTTCAAATTATTCCTATACACCTAATACTTTCAGGACTTGAATCTTTAGCCAAGGATACGCTACAAAAAATAAATTTAAATGCACTTCTACCATTTTCTCTAAATAAAAGCATTCTTTAAATACCTATTCAAAACTTTCAAAAAGCTGTGAAAATGTCAAAAAAGAGAACAAAAAATAGTATGGAGTGGTCAAAAGGAAAGAAACGAACAGTCACAACTTTGATATTAACAATTTCAGCAGTTTTATTTTCTTTGCTACTGGTTGTGATTTTAATGACCTGGATAGGCAGAATATTAGGGGAAAAAACAATGTGGAATCACAATTATTTTGATCGCTCTTTGCAAAAGAAACAAAATCAAAAAGAAAAAGTACAAAAACAATACATTACAAGCAATAATAAAAAGAATGCAAACACTGAAAAGTCCTTAACTGGTTAAAACACAAGCAACATTCTAACAGGCTACGTTTATGACATTAGGGACGACATTGATGAACTTTAAATTTAATATTTTGTAATTATAGTAATGTGTTAAGTTTCCCTGCCTAAAAAGGAAATCATGTTAATACAACAGATATTCAAATTTTATTTTTTTTCGAATACACATGTTTAACTTATGTCTTATTTTTTTCTATCTTATGTTAATTTGTTGGAAAAAATCAAAGTTCTTCAAAAGTGATCAAAGGAAACAGTTTTTACGGACGGACAGAAAGACTGACAGACTGAAAGACATAGGGTATATGATTAAACATACCTGGTTGTAAGCAGAATATAACATTTGAAAACAACAAAAGAAGATTGGTCGTAAAATAATTATGCTACACTTATCAACATTGCTATACATGTCGTAATTGGCCAAAAAGATGAATTATCTAAAGTTCCAAATAGAAACCGTTTAATAGTAACAAAAATATGTTTCAAGTTTGAAGCAGATATATTAAGAAATGGAGAAGTTATATAAAATACAATGTATCAACTTTTCCTTATGAAAATTTCAAAAAGTTCAAGCGTAGTTATAATGATAATTGTGTTGCTAAAATTATGAACCATGTCACATATGATGTGGTTGATTATAAAAAAACAAACATATCTTTTAAGTAATTGTGAAAAAGATTTCACTAGATAAAAACTATAATCAGAAATCTGTTAGTAAATGCCGACGCTGGGTAAGAAGAACAGTTCTCACTATATTTTCTACAGTCAAGCATAAAATATTGTGCATAATCTCAATACTGACATCTATCCATATTTCAAGATTCAATAAAACATATGTTCAGTACAATTTGATTCATCACAATGTTACTAAATTTACTTTCTTTGAATATACTGTTGCCATAGCAATCAACTTTTTTACATAAACAGAGAAAGAAGATGAGAAAATGTCAAGATTTTAATCTTCCCTTATTAAGGTTTTTTTTTTTTTCAGTGCGTTTTGCCTAGTCACGGGACGGTCAGACGTCCGGACGTCCGACGGACGGACGGACTGTCGGTGGAGGACAGATGGACGGCAGGTTAAGCTGAAATACACTCCAGTTAAACCGGTGGGGACTAATACAGGTATTGTTAATTAGCAATGACAATGTTATGTAGTAAATGATAATATTTTATATTGAAGAGTACATTGTAATTCAAAGTTATATTTAAAAAAATATGATAAACAGGATCATCAAACCACTACCTATTAATAAATAATTAGTAACTGATAAGAAACTAAAAAAAAAAAAAAAATGATTGAATATTAGGCCCATAAAGTCAAAAGGCAAAAGGGAAAGGGGACATGAGACCTGGGGAGGGGGGAATAAATAGAATAAATGAAAACTAGGGGCAAAGGGGAAGATATTTACCGTAGACCAGAAAACAACAAGAGACACAAAAGTGTCACCAAAACAGTATAAAACAACATAGACAAACTTCTGAGGAACACTGAGGGGCGCCGCCTTGGAACGGTCAGCAGCATAAATAATGCTGGGGAGTTTAAACTGGTTAATGGTGCACCAAACCTCACTCTTAGCCCCACCATGTTCCTATAAACGAAGACTTCTATAACTTAAATTTTCTTAATTGTCTCAGATGTAAATATATAAGGTTTTATTTAAGCTTTTTGCAAATTCAAACTATATGTTTCATTCTTAAATTCAATGTAGTGTTGACATGACCGTCTTAACACACGTTACGTCTTTTGTGCATATTTGTGTGTCTAATTGTCTAATGAAAAATATACATGTCGAGTTAAATGAATCTTTAAGTTGTGTTCTTTTTACGTTATTAACAATTCAATATAACTATGAAATATAAAAATGTCCGTCAGTTGTCAGCCTTATATGCACTTTCATGATTAGAAAATACCCTAAAATCGTTTTTTCGACTGTTTGCATCACGTTTTAAATCTGACAATACCTTTGAGATTATGATATAGAGGATATTGAATGAGTGTAAGGAGCCTCTGGCAAGCATAATATTATCTTATTTATCGAGTTAAATAAATTCAGTAATGATCTTAAACGAATTTAATATTCTATTTATCATACACCCAAAATAAAGACCGTTTAAATAAAGTGAAAAAGTCATTTTTCACTGACGCGCCTTTCGTAAAACATTTACATTTAGAATGTCTTTACACTATGTTTGTACAAGACTAATGACGTCACGTCAAAATATATCCACTGCCGTGCAATGTCATTTTTACGGAGTCGCAAAGTCGTGTGTGATAAAGCTAAATTATACTGGTTAGGTTAGACGAAATAAATTAAAAGTCATACATTAAAAAATTTTAACAGCAATATCATTATGCTATTTATTCAGACAGTGTAATTTATTCATTTGATTTATAAATTTGAATAATTAAGATAAAAATTATTTAAAAAATAATCATTTTTCGACAAATGAATAGTTTACATATGATTGGACAATAAAATAAAAACATGTGCACATACTTGTTGTTCTAAATATTTCTTCAGGTGCTATACCTTGTCCGGCGTTGAAATGTGTATCTTTAGTTTTGTTTACCACTGCATGTTGCCTATTGAATTCTGCAGCAATAGCGTTATAAGGATTTCTTAGAATACATATGGCACTAGAGAAATTAAGCTGTGAAATAGCCATTTTTGCACAGTCGGGATGACCGATTGAACTGTTACTTTTTAAATGCGTTTTCACAATGAATATCTTTCTTCGCATTGGACACTCCTTTGACCCGACAAAATTCCAATCAGTATATATACTGCCCGTATAGTATCCTTGAAAATGACAAATAAGAACAGTAGAATATGATTCAATGTTAAATCAATTATGTTATAATTTGCAAAAAGGATAGAGATATAAGACAGAAGAGTTTAAAGCATATAGCTTATCATGCAATCTATTACGTGAATGAAAACATTATCATTGTAATATTCTTTTTACTAAATCAATGCATACTGTCACAAAACACTTTACAAAATAAATATTTACAAACAACAACAAGAAAAACAAGAGGGTCATGATGGCCCTGAGGTCGCTCACCTGTATATAGGCCCCCCAACCCTCACCCCCCCCCCCCCCCAACGTTGCAGGGTCAATTTAACCCAAGGGCTTTTATTTGCACAAACTTAGTAGACACCCATAAGAAGATGTTTCATGCTAAACATCTAAGCTCTAGCTCATTGGGCTTTTTAAAAGAAGATTTTTTTAAGTTTTTACTATACACATATAGTTAAAAACAATGACACCCCAGGGGCCGGGCCAGTTTTGACCCCAGGGCTTTTATTTGAACAAACTTTGTAGACACTTACTAGAAGATGTTTCATGCTTAATATCTAAACTCTAGCTATTTGGGTTTTTTCAAAGAAGATTTTAAGTTTTTGCTATACACATATAAAGAAAATCAATGACCCCCGGGGCGGAGCCAATTTTTACCCCAGGTCTTTTATTTGAACAAACTTTGTAGACACTCACTAAAAGATGTTTCATGCTTAATATCTTAACTCTAGCTATTTGGGTTTTTTTCAAAGAAGATTTTTTAAGTTTTTGCTATACACATATAAGAAAAATCAATGACCCCCTGGGCGGTGCCAATTTTGACCCCAGGGCTTTTATTTGAACAAACTTGGTAGACACCTATTAGAACATGTTTGATGCTAAATATCTTAGCCATAGCTCTTTGAGTTCTTTAAAAGAAGATTTTTTAAGTTTTTACTATATGCATATAGGGAAAATCAATGACCCCCCTGAGGCGGGACCAATTTTGACCCCAGGGCTTTTATTTGAACAAACTTGGTAGACATCCATTAGAACATGTTTCATGCTAAATATCTTAGCTCTAGCTCGTTGGGTTCTTTAAAAGAAGATTTTTAAGTTTTTACTATATGCATATAGGGAAAGTCAATGACCCCCCGGGGCGGGGCCAATTTTGACCCCAGGGCTTTTATTTGAACAAACTTGGTAGACACCTATTAGAACATGTTTGATGCTCAATATCTTAGCCATAGCTCTTTGAGTTCTTTAAAAGAAGATTTTTTAAGTTTTTACTATATGCATATAGGGAAAATCAATGACCCCCGGGGCGGGGCCAATTTTGACCCCAAGGCTTTTTATTTGAACAAACTTTGTAGACACTCACTAGAAAATGTTTCATGCCAAATATCTAGACTTTAGCTTTTATGGTTTTTTAAAAGAAGATATTTAAAAAAAATTCTTTCGGTTGCCATGGCAACCAGAGGTCTGCATGGAATTAAATTCTTTGAACAATTTTTAAAGGTGACCACCAAAGGAACATTCCTGTGAAGTTTGGATGAAATTGGCTTCGTGGTTTATGAGGAGATGTCATTTAAAGTAAAAAGTTACGGACGGACGACGGACGGACGCCGGACGAAAAGCGATCACAAAAGCTCACCCTGTCACTTTGTGACAGGTGAGCTAACAACATATAACAGTATCCGACTTACTGTGCTTTCGTGTTCATGAGTTATAAATATTTTGTAAACACAGCACCTTTAAAACAACTTTAAACATGAGTTTAAACAGAAAAATATAATAATTATAAGATTTCCAATAAAAATTTATAAAGACACTGGATGATATCTTATTAAGATTTGATAAGGCATTACGATAAAAATTACCTTGCTTAAATTTGATAATAATATATATTCATGATTGCCACACAGCTTCTTTGTTTCTTCAAGAGAAACCCGTTTTGACCTCAAACAAGGTAACTATGCTTTGTTAAAAATTCTACATACTATAAATGGTCGAAAATATAAATACACATTGTCATTAAAAATGTCATTATTTTTGAAGAAAGGGTCAACTGTAATTTATCTGTGATAAGGAACGCAGCTTCTAATACATAGTTTATTCATTATTTTTTATCCCATTTAGAGATATTCAGTAACAATTCTATAAACTTCTGTAATAAAAAAATGACGGAATCTTTATCGAAGCAATGCTACATTCCAAAAAGGTAAGTTGTGTGTATCGTAGTTTTACAGAGACAAACATTCAAAATCAAAGGTTAAAATGAAAAAAAAAAGGTCAAGACTTTGCATAATTCAACTTGTTAGTTAAGTAAAGCATGTTGTTAAATATGTGTTTTAACCCAATAAATCAATACATTTCACTCGTAGAGACCACCTATAATATTTACACTTGTTGCCACGCCACTCGTGAAAATATTGCACCTGGTTTCAACTCAGTGAAATATATTTTGATCTTACATGCAAAACAAACAAATATTCTTTATATTCTATTTTGATATTGAAATCACAGCTTACAGATGTTGTGGTGTATTTTATAAAAACACCCTAAGTATGTTAAGGAAAATGAATGCGGGATCATTATTCAGATGGTTCTGGCCTGATACACGTTAGGTGTGTCATGATAATGACTGTTATTTTGATCCATTTTGGCGTTTTTCCGTTTAATAGAATGTTCCAATCTATGATATTATGAATAAATATCTACATGTAAATGATCAAAGACAAATGAAGATACCAAGCTAGATTATTTAAAATTATCACTATTATAAATAAATAACAATCAAAATATATTTAAGTTTTAAAAATTTCTCAGAATTCTAGATCGATTTCAATCTGTGAAAAAATTGATATTGTTCAGTTTGGACACGATTAATCAGTAGGCAAGAGGTCAGTGTTTAAGAGGTTATTGACTAGAGGGCAAAGCAATAAAATCGAAGATGTTATACCATTTTCACCTTTTATTAAGGTTAGAGTTTTATTTGTTCAATAAGTCTATCAAATGGTCAGTGGTCTAGAAGTCAGTGTAAAGAATGTTAAGGTCACAAAACCCTCATGATGTATACTACTGTATATTGTCTCATAATACAGTTTTTCAGTGTTACATTAGATCATCTATGTTTAGGTTAATAGGTTTATATATTAATGTAATTTCAGCTCAAATAAAATCAAATCTTAAACAGTCTTTTTCCCTAGATATGAATAATTTCTTTTATAATAGAGCTATAAATTATATTCAACAACTGTTAATTGACTTATCTATTTAAAAACAAGATATTTGAACTAAAATAAATATAATCATTGTTGAAATTTCCCGAAACAATTTTACATTCAGTGATTTCTCTATTTTTAAAAGAACAAAAAAAAAGAAATAAAAATAATCTGTTTTCGGCAAACAGTTTTTTTTTATATAAACTATCATCATTTTAGAAGCATTTTAGAAATGACAAAAATCAATATTCTAAAATCATGGCTAAAATATTAATGTTAAGATTTTTGTATAATTGATATACATATGATACACAAATTTAGAATTGTTTTATGCATACATAATTGACATATCTAAATAAAATATGTTTTAGAATGCTGTCGACTACTGTACATTAATGTTTATTCTCTACGTACAAGTGTTGTCCATTTGAAACATTATTCCAAAGACAAAAGGCCGAACTATTGTTCTTTATTGTTTGTTAATTAATATTTATTCATATTTCAAATCATTTTTTAATAAAAGCATATTCTTACCTGTTGCTGTTTCTATTAACTGACGTGTCCATGTGTTTCCTGATCCTGGGTAACTTGCAAGGGCGACAAGTGGTCTCGAAGTACTCAGAAATTCAGGTGATTGATTACAAATAAATGTTTTCATCTTTTCTCTTAAAAAGCTATTCAAGTTCACTGAATTATTCGAACAAAGTCGAAGCAATGCTTTAAGTGAACTTTCTTCGACGATTTTATATTGATTATCATGTATTGCCTGACTACAGCCTTCTCGTGTTATGATATTAGATCTACTGCGGTATAAATTATAAAAGACCATAACACAAGTTATCATGAGAAGAAGTTGTAAATATTTATGTTTTCTCATAACGATTTTAGTCACAAAAAGAAAATATGATTTAATTTTATGTGCTGAAAATGCCCGTCTGTATTTGATCTCTGAAAAAGAAGAGGTAATCATAGGAATGTAAAGTGAATACTTGTTTTGATTTAAACATGTTAGTGTCAAAGAATGATTTCAGCATAAGCCAATAAAATAGTACAACAGAGAGAGAGAGAGAGAGAGAGAGAGAGAGAGAGAGAGAGAGAGAGAGAGAGAGAGAGAGAGAGAGAGAGAGAGAGAGAGAGAGACAGAGACAGAGACAGAGACAGAGACAGAGACAGAGAGAGACACACAGAGACAGAGAGAGAGAGAGAGAGACAGACAGAGAGAGAGACAGAGAGAGGTGCAAAAACACCAAACATGTTCGCAATTCTTTCATAAAACTATTATTTTAATTTCTTCAAACAGATTCCGCCCTTCTCCAGATTTTAAATTAAACGTAAAATATATTTAAATAATAAGTTTTATCTTAGTATTTTTTCCAAAACACAGTGACAAATGTAGAAAAGAAGTCATGTCAAGTTAGTGATACTCTTTTAGATATTTTGAATCAATTGCATAGGGTCAAAATCAATTAGTTAATATGAACTCAATTAGGAATATACATGTAGTTATGTGAGTCTTCCTGTGTGAAACATGTTTGACAGCCTAAATATTGGGTATGTTTCTTTTGAAGCGTACCTTTGCAAATAGTCCATAAACAATGATTGCTTCTAATATATAATCTTATCTTACTTCTGTATTAAAGAATTATTGCCCATTTCCAATGGTCTTAGGATAGTGATCTAGGGTCATTATTTCTCTCGTTTAAGGGGTGAAGTGAAATATGTGTATATGTTTAAAATACAGTTAGCCTATATATGTCAACGGGTGAGAAAATGTGCAGCCTGACTGGGACTTGAAGCCGGGACTTTCGGAATACCGCACCGCGGCTTTACCGCCCGCTTACACACTTTCTCTACTAATTAATGAACAGTTCTGAATCATGACATATAAAACCTGTAAATGTATGTTAATATAAATATTTCACTACACATTGAATACGCATATTAATTATTGCCTGAAACAATCCACGAGAAAGTATGTTTTCTTATAATAGATGTAAAATCCAAATGAAATCCATTTGAATGAACCACATTTATTCTTTCCTTGTTTGGAAGAACAACAAATAAACATGGAGGTGGTTTTATATAAACTCACATTTTCTTCCGCTATATTATGTATATAACATAATTCAATTCGGCACGGTATAACGTTTCGTCTTCTTGACATGTACGTTTCAATAATTAAAACAATCGATTTTTCAAAGTTTTGCTTAAAATGAATAATATCATCCCCATTTAGCTCAAGACTTTCTTTATGAGAAGTTCGTCTGAAATTGTGGGGGAAACAGAATTTAATATTCAAGGTTATATTGAAGAAATTTCATTTAAACTTGTGTTTAGGTAAAAAATATAGAGAAAAGTTGTTTGTCAGTTGTGTAAACTGTAATTTTATTTCATCGAGCGAACTTTAGAAAACAATATTCTCACCTGTGACGTATCCATGCAAATATTTCTATCTCTTGAATATACCCTGTCTAGATGTGTTATTCTATTGAATGTGCTAAATTATTTACAATTTATAATAATGATATGATAGTAAATATATCTTTGAATCATACTGTTACAAAAAAGGGGAAAACAGAATCCCTAAAGAACACCTAAAACAACAAGATTGAAAAAGTTCAAGGATCGATTTGATTGAGCCTATTCATGGACGCGACTGATGAGTGCAAGTTACCGTCCACGCCCCTAGCACCGGCTTAAGCAAAATTCAATATTTAAACACGAAAATGATGAAATTTTGAATTTAGAAACATCCGCAGATGTGTTTATACGACGGTTATAATGGAATCTTCAATGTGACACTTCTGTGCCACTCCATGAAAATTGACTTATGGTGCCCAAAAATTGGAACGTGTGTACTCTATTTGAGAAAACAATGAAGGAAACTAAACACTTTGACATTTTAAAAGAAATTAGCCTTTTTTCTCATTGCGTTAGCTTTTGAGCATTTTATTTCTTTCATAATGTATTTGTACAGGTATTGATTTTATTCATAAAAAAACACATTTCTTTCTTGAACTTTTGTTTGTTTGTTTCATTTTACGCCTTTTCCTAACAGTATTTCAGTCATATAGGCGGGTAGTTTCCTAACCATCGTTCCTAAAAGTTACACCAGTACTAGACTACCTTCCTCCGTGCTAAACTACCAAAGCATCTCCCGGGTATCGAACCCACGCCAGAGAGGTAACTGGATTAGAAGTCATCGACTCTAACCCCTCGACCACGGAGGCGGTGCCACTCTTGAACTAACAATATTGGAACAAGTGATGTTATGCTAACAAATTCAATTTTGCATTTATTGATATAAATTTTATGCTTTTCAGTGGATTACTGATTTATCCTGATTTATCACCGTGAAAATTATCAAAATATAATTTCATACTTTTCAATGATGAGACTTCTTTTTTTAAGATTTTCCTTGTGTGAAACTTCAATTTTATTGTTGACTATTCTGACAGTGTCAGGGCTGTTTAGAGAAAAGCAAAACTGAAATTGATAAATAACTGAAATTTAAAAAAACATAATAATAAGAAAATTTACTTCAATTCATTTAAATTACCAATTACTAGATATCGTATCTAAATTTTGTTTCATTTTTACAGTCTGAACAATAAAATTCCTTCAACATGCAAAACTGCTCTTGATGACATTTGGGCATATTTAAGTATCCTACGAGCAATAACAGCCTAATAACTTGAAAAGCAATGACAGGCATCAGCCCAAAAAATAAGTAAACAACCCAGCGTTCGTAAGGCACCCTTTTAAAAAATTCTATGTTTTCCAATCTCCTAGTCGCTTTTTGAATTTTAATACATCTGCCAACACTTATTTTACAGTCTGTAACAATCCTCAAATCCGTTTTCTTTCTTCTAAAAGATGTATGACTAACAAAACCAAATGATATCCCTCTGAATCAAACACAATTGTTTTCCTCCCATGGAATACACAACTTTTATAATGGCGGCCGCTTACATTTTACAGAGCCAGGTCTAATATAAATTCGCCGTAAGTAACAGAAATAAGGATAGATGGTTTGACTTTTTCTCCTAGACTAGAATTGTTATTTGAATAAAATGAATAATATCATCGCCATTTAACGTTGATTGTTGAACTTATTTTCAGCCCAAGACTTCTTGTATTTTATGAGAAATTCGACTAAATGAGGCTATCAGTGGGGAAAACAGTTTTTATTTTAAAGTTAATATGAAAGAAATGTCATTTAAACTTGTTTTTAGCATGAAATAAAAAGAAAATGTGTTTGTTTGTTGTGAAAGATGTAATTTTATTTCATCTCGTGGACTTTAAAAACAGTTTTCTCACTCGTGGCTACGCCACTCAAGAAAATGCTGCTTTTAAAGCTCACTCGATGAAATAAAATTTCATCTTACAGACAAACAAACAAATATCCTCTATATAATCACATCCCCTAGATCTAAATGAGACAAAAATATCTTAATACAATAGAATACTCTATTCATAGTAACAATGGAAGGAGAAAGAAAACAATTTACTATTCAGTCATAAGTTTCAGGTCAGTACAAAAAAACTGAATGAGCGATTATATACGTCACATTTATATGGCGGTAATTTTCAAAATGGCGGCCATGTAGAATAGCAGGGAGTTTCTTCAAAACTATCTAAACTGCAGGGACCTTTTTTTCCCGCCCCAATAAATTTTAGAAGTCTTGATATAAAAATATACGCCGTATTTTGTTGATTGTTTAATAAAAATTCGAAAATTAAACTTCTACCAAGTATTTGATAACTATGAATAGTCTGATTATTGATCTTACCTTGCAAGGCAATCCTGCTTCCATGAAAAAATATGATTGAGCAATCAATAGTTAAATAGAAAAAAGAAGTCTATATTAATGTGTTTAGTATTTGCCAGTTGCTAAACATTTTGTAAATTTAAGTTCTGTTATTGTTCTCTTTTTGTAACTTTATTACTTAATCCTTATACCTCTGGTGAACTAAAGTGACTTGTATCGGGAAAAAAAGGCAGCTGAAAAAGTTTACACGGTGATTATAAATATACTCCAATATTTGAATTTATCATCTATACTTTTAGCAAATATTATAAATTATTCATGCAAAATTATCAACAACAACATTGTAATTTACACAAACTTTGATATCCCCTGATAATCGTTTGCTATTTCTTATCTTCAGCAAACATTGTTTGATATAACTACCTTTCTTGTGTGCCGTGTTTATCATGATACGAATATAAACCAGATATGCCACAGTGTTTGTAATACACCAAACCGATATTTTTGCCACAAGCTGCTAGATACTGCAATAAATCATTATCTTTCAAAGGAAACATATGACTTTCAATGAAAAGAAATTATACCAAAGTAAAAAAAATGAAAATGCAGAAATAAAATCTTTGAATTTTGACCTTCACGTGTAACCTTAAATTTCGGCTACTTGACATGGTGAAATGAAAATTAAACCCACAATTCCTTCAACTGGCAAAAGGTTTATAAAATGATACTTGCTTGACCTTGATCATGAGCTTGCACATTTGGATGCATTGTTTTGAATACTTCCTTTCTATAAGGATAACAATTTAGCAGAGTTTAGAGTAAAACCTTCAAGGGGTACACTTACCGCTGGAGTTGAAGTTGCACTAAATGATAAGATATCTTATTAATATGATAAAAATCAATTTTAAATTCTAAGTAAAAAATATTTTGTTTCTATTTTGCTGACTAATGTGATAAAAATATGACTGTTTGGGTGTTTTACTCTTATACATCGTCTTTTAAACGTAAAAAATCTGCAAAATTATCAGGAACCACATTTATATTTTCTGGTTATTTTCTTATAAATCAGCATTTTAGACTTAATCTCAGACTGACAATATTTGCATGGTTATCTCAATGAAGCATAAATTAAGAAAATATATTCTATAATAATAATAACAAACAATGCCGGGATAAACTTTATCAATGTTGTAGGTAATTTAGCCTTTTAAGAAAAATTGTGGTCAATCACAAACAAAAAGTTGCAATCATAATTACTTTGACAACTTTGTATATTTAGACTTATTGAAAGTATTTGTAAGAGGAAATATTTTTTTAACCTGTTTAAACAAGAATTCTTATTTGTATGCAAACAATATTTGCAAATTTGTCAAAATTACGATTTTACGTACCATTGGCTAGATAAAAAATCATTTTCAAGGTAGAATTATAATTTTTGATGATAAAAAGCTAAAATGATGTTCTAACATTACCCAACCCTGTTTGATAAAAATGTATATTTTAGATATATGTTCAGGAAAATAATATAAACTTGATTTCAATTCATAACTTCACGGGCATGAGAATACAAATGAACTCAAATTCATCAAAATCAATGTATAATTTAATATATACACTAAATCAATCGATTTATATAGAAAAAGAATGATTTAAAAAATACATTTTACAACTTCATTGTCGGTAACTTAAAGCTACTGAACCTTATATGTTCTTTATGGTTCATGAAAGAAAGCAACCTACACAGTTTTGCATTAATAAGAACATTGTAACATTCAAAGTTATCTACAATGATTATAGAAAATAACTATGTTTAAATGTTAATTGTTTGCATAAAGTATCAATAAATCACAAAAATTGACTTAAATTGATCGTACGTTCAAATATTGTTTGACAAAATAGGCCATGCATCTCCAGTGTCTGACATGTGGCTTAGTGTGTCTTTAAAATATGAAGGTAAATCACACAAGGATTAACCAATTTTTTACACAGAAGACAAATTACCCTTAAAATCAAAATGTCTCCTGAACAGCCTCTTTAATACCTTACGCACTTACATCTTGTAAGTGTGCTTTATGTTATTTTGTATTTCAAACACAAAATTTATATTATGTTATATGCGCGCGTCAATTAAAAAAGAACAAGACAAAAATAAGAAAGAAACAAACAAATAAAAAAAGAGCAATGGCCCTTGAACTCCGTTTTAGTGTGTGTATTAACTCACCAGTTAAATACATTGTTCTGTACCAAATATATTTCATTAGGGTGTTATACAGAAACTGTTACTAGACGTATCTGTTATTCGTTTTGCATATTCAATCCACGACATTAACGATTCCATGAATTATAATGTGATGCTTTCGTAGAGACATGTCGATAGAAAAATTATATTCTTAACTTCAAATTGTGATCTTCAAAATAATCATGAACATGATGTTTACAAGTGAAGTGTCTGAATATAAAGTTGATGTTCATTTTGCCAATGAAGAAGTTATAACAGAGCTCTGTCTATTCTTTTGATAGGTAAAATTTTTCAATAGTCAACGGACACCACATTGCCTGCATTACTTCATTATCATTTTACTCAAATTCTTGATGTTATATATATTTTTTAAAAACATTGTTATAACAATTTTGCAGATTGCATATAAAGGGTTATATTCCATTTATAAAAATGAAATTTGTTTCTTCAAATTAACCAGATAAATAGAAATAGAACGCTTCATGGTGCATATAAAATAAATTAAAAGATTCATATTATAAATGACTTCATACCCCAGTCCACAATGATTCAGTTACTACATCAGTCTAATTTAACACTGCACAAACGAGCTAATAAAAAACACATATTTTTACTAAATAAAAAACGATGCATCGTGGAAGGAAAAAGAACTCGTTTTAAAACATTGAACTCGTTTCATGTAGTTTTCTATTATGTTTAACAACATACAACATCAGTGGTATAATATGAAACAGTAACTTGAAGTTCATATTTTTCTTCGTTTGTATGTGAATCCCTTATTTTCATAACATGGATTGAAAAATAATTTGCTGGTACAATGCGTATTTACTACTTTTTTCTCCAGCTCAACTTGTCGAATAGCAATAAGAGCTTTTGTATTTGCAATAGGATCTGTGTTGATTTACATTGTAGCAAAACTTTTTATTTTACTATCATAGTTCGTGCTCCAGTACTTATGAAGACGATTAAATATTGCTTTATCAATAACTTTACAATATGGTACGCACAACAAATAATAAAATATATTATAAATTTAAACAAGAGGGCCATGATGGCCCTGAGTCGCTTACCAGAAACAACGGCTTTACAGTGTTGGAAATTATTTTTTAAAAGAATTTGCTGAAAGGCAAGTCCAGCTCTTTGGGCAAGTTCAGCTAAACTTTAAAGGCCCAACCGGACTATGAAAGCCAGCGCTAGGGCAGGTTTCTTATTAATTTAATGCATGCTTCACTTCAGGGGCCCTTTTTCAAAGATTTAAGATTAATTACCAAATGCATTAAAACAACACTTGGCATGTTTTGATAAAGATTGACCATCATTATTCAAAATATAACTTTGTTAAGTGTATTTCTGGAACAAAAGTACTGGCTATCGAATTTGAAATTTGAATTTCCCTGGGAGGAGCCATGTGATCATTACAGGTCATGAACCTTCAGTAATCAGAAGCACGTGGCAGTTTTTTTTTCAGGGAGAGAGATTTGTAGCAGACAATGTATATTTCAGGGAGGAAGATTTTCAGCAGATGACACATTATGCTAAATAAAACAATAACTTTTACTGACTTGCCAGCAAATTTACAATAATCCATTAATCTATGATTTTTTTTTCAATTTCAAAGTACTGATTTAACTTGTATTTAAATGGTTTAAACTTCATGAAAACAGTAAAAGTAACTTCCAGGTATATTTCATGTACGCTGTATTTTGTTGTAAATATCTTGTAGTCAAAAATTACATTTCACAAATGTTAATCAAACTAAATGTTGCATATGCATAAAATATTTATACATTAACAGTTTAAAAATATTTTAAATTCCTGTCAAGAACATTTTTAGCAGGTTGTTCCTAAAAGAAATGCCCCATGGAAGGCAAATCTTTTCGATTTTGATATAATTGTCTGACTTGATGAAGGACACATACAGCATTCCAGTGAAAAAAAAGAAGAAAAAAAAACTGACTTCAAAAATAATATCTGGACAAGATGACTTGATAATGTCTTTAATTAATCTTTGAGTTATATAAAACATCCATTAAACCTCTCCTGTGTACAATCAGCGGTTTTTGTTTACATTCTCTCTGCAGGTTAACACTGCATGCTATTTATAGTTCAGGATTTATAACAGACAGTTTTACTGGTACTAAGTTTTACATCACTGATTAGTCACAACCACAAATACTCACTGCCGTGACCCTCTAGTAATATACTTTCACAACACTGATTGTTTTAGCTTTTTTTCTTCATAATAAAATATAGGGCCACTAAGATGGCACTAGATCACTCATCTAACCCATCATTTCATTATTCACAATATAAATTGAAATATTTTGCCCTAATATTTTGGAAAAGCTTTGTTAAAAATATGTATGTTGCAAGTGTGTTTCAATGAGATCATGTAGAATAAATGCAGAATAAATGACCACTGGAGCAGGATTAATTTTGACTAAACAATTTTTTATAACTTTTTTGAATGAAAACACAAAATGTCACATGCAAAACATGTATCAAAATTGAATTCAACATCAAAAATTACACAAATTACACCCCTGGTCCAAATTTCAAGTCTGTACATAAAAGACAAAAAAGTAGGTAAAGCGATATCAAATATATCAAAAGTAGGCCAGTTCATATCAAAATTCAATTCAGGATCAGAAATTAAACCCCTTGTCCAAATTTCCAGCAGGTACATCAAAAAAAACGACAAACTAGGTCAAACAATATCAAATAATAATATCAAAAGTAGTCAATTGATATCTTAATTCATTTCGCATCAGAAATTACATTCCTGGTCCAAATTTCAAGTCTCTGTACATCATTCCAAATTTCAAGTAGTCTCTGTACATCAAAAACAAGAAAGTATGTGCAATGGTTTCAAAAATATCAAAAACAGTCCCACTGATACCAAAATTCAATTATGCACATGAAACTCAGGTTCAACAGTCTGTCCCAAAATTTATTGAAATGTGCGTTTTCCAAGTTTAAATCCAATTCAAGAAAAAAAAATGAAAAAAATACAATTTTTAACAAAATTCAATAACAAAAATGAGCATACAAACTCATCTTTGTTAGTCAGGTACAGGAGAAACAAATTTAATGTTTCTTTAGGCCTATTTTTCCCCCTGGTTAATGACCTACAACTGACCTTACAATGATGGAATATGATGTCCGATTTCTAATTACACATCATAAACAGGTCATGACATTAAGATTTTCTCC